TGAACAAGTGACGGGCTGGACTTTTTAAACCTACCAACCTTTTTCCCTAACCCAAACCTTGTTTTTAACCCGCACATCCGCTATTTTAAACCCTGGGTTACAAAAAAGTGTCGCTTCATAAAACTCTGTTAAACTAACTAACCATTGTTAAACTATTGTTTATTTTTCTTCACCACTGAACTATGCTTTGTGAACCCTGGAACTCATTTCTTAACCCAAGCGTCCTCTATTTTAACACCATTACACTCTTTTGTAACCACAGGTGCGACCAAGGGATACCAGGGGCTCCAAATCCAAACGCACTCTTGTACCAGAAGAATCTTCATCCTTTTACAGTCGATGTGTAGACAGGTTTACATCCAGTTTCACATTCAAATGTGTGGATGTAGGTCATGTCCTCGAAGGTCGGACAATGTTTATGCCGGATCCGTTTGCAGGAAACGATGTAAAACGTCATGTGGATTCAGGTCATACCCCTGAAGCGGTCTGACACTTGATATCTATAGGCTTATGTGCGTATTTGTAATGATGAGACCGGAGAACCCCGTATGTTAAAGCTTTCTGCAAAACCAACACGACAGTTTAAATGCAAGGGCAATAGACCAGCAAAAAGACGATATGACAGGGTGGTCCCAAAGCGCAGGCGGAAATGGCAGAAGGTAACGATGATGATGATGACGATGAAAACAGCCATGATGTTGATGGTGACAATATTATTGATGATGACCACAATGGTGTAATATAACGCCAAGATACAGTAGATGTGATCAATAATCTCAAGATATACCTGTGGGGCCTGTTCCCGCTGACCAGCCGCACGCCGCGTTTACACCAGTGTATTTCTCTTTTCTCAATGGCACGGACTCACGCAAGCGCGCATTCCACCGAGGCCGCGCAAAACCGAATGACACACGACGTCGCAGATGTAAGATCCCCACACAATGTGCCACAGACTAGATACAACAATGCTTTGAGTGGCGAAAGCTCTTACTAGGGCGTCTGAAAACAATCCGAGACTGCCCGGCGTACCAGCGAAAATTCCGGGCAACTGGTGCTGGGGGACGTGATTCCGCTCCCTGGGTTTTTCACTACTTGGAGAGGCCAAAGCTCCTGACAGAGCCCCCCGCAAACCATCCGACACATACCCGGCATTGGTCACACCAAAGCCATCCCTGTAGCAACTTCCTCTTAAAATTGGAGCATCTAGGTGCTCGGTGAAGCTACTTTTTTATACAGCTACATGGTGCCTGGATAGCTACTGGAGGTTGGGTGCTTCAATTTTATAGAGATGTTGGGGTCTCTAATTCTATAGAGATGGTAAATCTAGAGTCACTGGAGAAATGGGTTGTTAGGTGTTCCAATTCTTTTGAAAGACACAATAGATATGTTCAGGTTGGGTGTTCTGATTCTGTAGAGAGTCATGTTGTGAATGGTTGTGTCCTTTGCCGCTTGGGTGCTTTGATTTTATAGAGAGATCACATTTACATGATTTCTGCATTTGGAGTTTGCTTTAGGGGTGCGTGTAACAGTCAGGAAAAGATCTAGGAATAGTTTTGTCGAATGCTCATCAGGAATAATTTGCTTGGGGTCCCTGTGCCAGGGGGTGGGGGTCACCTAGGAACCATCGTTGCCACTAACCTCGATATTAAGGAATAGTTAGAAAAGGAATGAAAAGGAGATGTGCCAGTCTTAGCGGCTTGGAATGGCTTACATACTGGCTTGGATTTCTTTCCCTGCGCTCTAAGACCTGTACTCTAAGAGTCACCAAGGTGGATGTTTATGGAAATCCAGCGGTTGGGATGGCTTGGGAACCAGCTCATGAGGGAAAGACCCTGTGCGCTTCAATTCTACACGGATTTGGTGTTTTGACAACTAAATGGCAAATTCTATAGAGGTTGTTTTTGGGTGCAGGGGGGGTCACTCAGGGTGATTCTAGGCAGAAGCTGGCAGGCCAACTGAACCTTTATACAAACTGTAATTGAAGTGAATTGAATATTTAGTTGGAACATCATTATCCCGAACTTAAGCACCTAGGGCCATTTTTTTTTCATGACTGGCAGATTCCAAAGGTTTGTTATCACAAAACTAAGCACAACAAGAAACAGCAGAGAGAAACACACATTTGCAAGAACCCTGCCCTACAAGATAGGACGCTTATAGAAATGGAGCCGGTGGCATTGCAAAGAGGTGACATGTTCACTCTGTTAAATTGAAGAACCACCACCAAGAAAAACCAGGCCTGAAGTGTTAAGGGCCAGGACAGCAAAATGCAGATGTTGTGGCACCCAATTCTATAGAGGCCATTTCAATCTCTGACCTGTTCATCGCTATCTTGGGTTCCCCGTTTCTATAGGCAAAGCAGGCCCAGAGTGAGACAGGTTTAAGTTTGCTTGTCCTGGGCTAGAAAAACTGGATTCAACACCAGGTTGCAAGGTCAAAAAAGACAGGTTCCAGGGTTAAAACAAACATTAGTGGTAACAACGGGTTGCACAAGAGTGATGCTATTTCCTTCTTCATGAAAGCAAGTGCAGAATGACATCATGTTGGACCCCCTTCCCATCATCCAACGGGTTCCCATATCTACCGCTGAAACACAACAACCAACGGCTTCCCCATTTGGGTGGACGGCGTGTGGCAGGGAATCGAACGTCGCGTCGTGCCACCGAGGCCACGGGTCTTGGGCGTCCGGGTGATCCAGCCTCTTCAACCCAGGCAGCATTTTCTTTTCGGTTGCCTTTATTTTCTGTTTTTGTATTTGATCCTGGGGTAAGTGATTTCTGTCTGTAGATGATGGTTCGTTTGTTTTTCTGGTTTTGGACTATTTTTGGTGTGACGAGTCGTGCCTGTGACGAGATTGGATGAATGACTGTCACTTGGGCGCCTGTGCAAGAGGAGGAAAAAATGGATAACACCGATAAACCATAACTTATATAGTTTGAACTGGGGGATCTCGACAGAAATTGATTTGTGGTTTGCCTTTCCAGCAACTGGTCAACGATGCTGCTCAGGACGCCGAACGTTGATACGCGGCCCTGGACTCGCAACTATCGTTGAGTGCTCAGATGCGATGATCCGAACCTCCGGTTATTTGCACCATGAGTTGTTTATTGATAGGTATCTGATAAGAATCTAAACTTAACTGCTTGACAGTGTGTGTTTGAACATTACAGCTCCAATCTCAATGTTTGTCCAAGGATTCTCGATTTCTACCTATATAGTCCTATATACTTACTTGCTTACGAACTTATTTACAATGGCTTACCTTCACTCACCTTCACTTTACTTCACTTACCTACCTGCGTACACTCCTGCGTACTTACATTCTTACTTGATTCTATACTTACTTGAGGATGCCTACAGTCCCATCAACTCTGTTCTGAAGAGAACTGCCCTTTTCATTAGATGGACTTGGGACGGTCTTTGAAAGCAGTTGACAATTGATTGATCTTTGACATGTGCTACTGTCTCTTCGAGGCTATCGCTGGCATTACTTTGTCCGTGTGGATCTCAGGTGCTCAGCAGGCGCTCAGGGGCTGTGCACGTCCGGTGGTCCGATTGGCTCAGCTGGCCTGTGTGCCGATGGGCTGAGGTGGCAAGTACTCCTGGGGCAAACGATTGCGCTGGAGGTTCCACACACCTCAGTTGCCTGGAATCATGCTGGCACCTCAGTTGGTGAAGGCTGCCAAAGTGGCTCTTGATCACATCAGGAATCCTCTGCTTGATGGTCCTTTGCAGGTTCAAGATACAGTAGTGGTAAAGTTTCGGCTCCGGTGCGAAGTGGTCGAGATATCTTTGATCTTTTCAAGATCTCCGTGATGAATGGGGATTATATACTCAATGCCTCCCCAACGCATTCAGCTCATCAACACTTCACCCTCCCACACCTTTGAGCTGCCAGACAGATTGATGGCTCGAAGCAGCTAGGCATACAGTGATCTCCTGAAGGGGTCATGGCCACAAGCTACTGTCGCACGCTTCTATGGTCATGGTTCTTTCGGGGGAAAGCGTGAAAATTGTGTCCATCAAATCGCTAGATTCTAGCTTGGGGTTGTTAGCATAGCTTCCTGGGCAATACCCAAGGAATGCTAGGCCTCTAAGTAGGCGAAGTCATATTTTGCTGATTGGGATCTATAGGTTGAACTGGGAGATGGGCGGTCACTCACCAAGCCTCTATTTGCATCCATTTGCGAACGGCGAATACCTCCTAACCAGAATATCAATTCATCATCGAAACTTCGACATCACAAAAATTGACGTGGATGGCACCAGACCCCTTGGAAGACCGTTGTTTGTTTCTCTCTCTCTCTCTCTAATATACAAACAGATACAAACAGGTGCTTTTCCACTTTCATGGAGCATGAGTCAGAGCGTATGCTGCATGAAGGCCGTTTCCAAAAATCTTGGGTCGTTTGTGCACCAAGGTCCCTGGAGCCCAAAATCCGACGGGAGTTGGCGAACCTGCGGCACCGCTACCAGATGCAACGTGCAGAGGCAGACTGGGGACGTGCACCAGGGCGCCTGAGCAGGCTGCAGGAGGATCTGTTCCGGAAAATGAGTGGGCAGGAGGATCGGTCACATTTTGGAGTAGGTCCTGTCTTGCCCAACAATCTACATGTAGAAAAGATCGGAAAAGATGAGCACTTCTGTTTGGGGTCAGGCTGGGCCGCGATCAGTTGTGACATATTATGACCCAAGGTGCCAATCTCTGTTTTTTTTTTCCCATGTTTGGGACTCTGAGTCTATCTCTGCAAAGTGAGGCGATATCCCAAACTGCGCAAACACGAGGTTTTCGCAGGCGTTTCGGGCCTTGTGGGCGGTGTCGGAGGCAAAGCTGCCGCCCTACATCTTCCCAGGGCCCTACCACATCACTCGGCGCCAGACGCGGGTCATCTCCGCCGAGCGCTACCGACACTCGAACAAGAATGGGACTGGGGGTGGTTGAGGTCGGACACACGTTGAATGTGACAGGTGGGGCTGAGATGGGCTGAGGGTTTGTTTCGATGTGGCATGTCGCGGCTGACCGTGGACTGGTCTTGGCTCCAGTCGAAACCATTGCAACACACGGCGTTACGTTTGTTTGTAAATCTTTCAGCGCAGGGTTCCGGATGTCGCGTGCTCCAGTCTTTGGTCACGTTCAGATGAAGGCAATCTTTTTCTTGTTGCTCTTGGCAGGTCACGATTGTGTCCGAGTGACGGAAGAAGTTCAGTGGTCCAAGTCCAAATGGGCTCAGCTGCATGCGGACTGCAAGTATTCTTTCACGGAAGGTTGTGCCGGTGAGGGATGTGTGCGGAAACGCTTGCCTTTGGACTTGACTCCATCAGTGAGTTGTCGGCACACAGATGCTTACCTCTTGAAGCATAATGGCCTGAAGAATTTTCAGACCATCGTGAAGCACTTGGAGGAGAAGAGTGACAAGTATGCCAAGTCATGCCAACAAGCCAGTTGGTTGCACCTTGAACGTTGCTAGTTGGAGGCTTTCGATTTTTCTTGTACCCTTTGTTCATCGACCTTTTCGGGAATCGACACAGGGATTTTTTCAATGAGTGAGCTCTTGCAGCTATTCCAGCTGCTGGGAGTTCTGCTGAGTCCCTCCTTTGGGTATTCACCATCAGTTCATCATGATATAGACGCATTTTCATGCTGTGCGCCAAGTGGATTTTTCTTAGGCATGTCACACACATGACTTTTTGTTGGAATTGGTTGCGGTCCGAACGTTTGCTGTGATGATGTGATGTTGTGGAGTGCAGTAATTGGTGATTTATCCAATGCTGTGGTCAAGTGGTGTGCGGTGATTCGCATCACCACATATTTTTTAAAGATATATCTAGTGACGATGTGATGTGATGTGATGTGATGTGACGTGTGATACGTGATATATGGTGATGTGGTTAAGTAATTTATTAGTTAAATTTACTCGATGCAGTGCAGTGTGGTTGCTTGAGAGGTGAAGTGGATGATATGCTTGGTGGTGAGTGGTGAGTGGTGATTTGGAGTGGTCTCTACTCACTGCTCTTCTCTAGAATCTACAGTTACACACCTCTATATACTCAGACTCAGACTCTTCTTGTCGATTCATTCTCTTGAAGCCTCTCTGCGCCACAGTACCGCAAGGTACTTCTCTCCGGTTGGACCTTGACATCTCTACATGCTCTCTACTTACGAACCTCTCATGTTCTCGCAAATGACATGTCGACCGCCAACCACGGCGCGAGACTCCCTGCTAAACGAAACACCTCTCACCTGCTGTGTGAGACCTCGGAACGGCACACGGGTTCTCGCTGTCCAAGGAATCGAAAGTGCAAGCGCCGCGAAGCACAGATGTTCAATGCCGTCAAGTTCATTGCACGGGCTCCGCTCGACCAGAACTTCATGTCCCAGCTCGATGAACACGAACGAGCTGTGGTGAGTGCCGCCGGCACACAAAGCATGATAAACGTTTTTTGTCGGAGGACGCTTTGTGCTGCAGATTGTTTGACCAGTGAAGATTCCAGTTCCATGCTATTTTGTCCTTCCTATTGGTGCGTTGTTGCAGCTTGAGGCCTATACAGTAGCTTCCCCCAGCTTCTGTGTTGCTCTGACTCCACGTCAAAGTCCACCTTTCCCTTCCCCAATTATCACGAAAGCTAGCATCAGCTAGCTGGAGTTGCTCTTGCTTTAGCAAGTCAAGGGCTCGCAGCCTCGAGAATCATGAATCACGTGAAAACTTCACGTGTAGGGGGGGGGCCCCCCCCCACCCCCCCCGCGGGTTCAACTCCCCCCTGGGACGCTTCCGGTACGTGCTATAGTGCTATGTTTAGGTGGCAGGTGAAGTAGGCCACTGTTTGAGTTTGGAAGGGGGGGCATGAAACATGAAATTTACGCGAGGGTTCAAGGCTTCAATGATGAGCATCACGGGAAGTCAGAAACCAGGCGTATCAGATACACGTGCCTTTGAGCTTCCTTCGGCATCTCAGTGCATATGGCTGACACTTCACTCGACAAAGATGCTCAAACAAACATACATAAGCCAGGTGTATCTGATACGCCTGGTTTGTGACTTCCCGTGATGCTCATGATGCTGCGTTGCTTTTCTTCAGTCCCTCATTACATATACATGACGATCCAACAGCAGATTCAACAAGCTCACATGTTCATGACATCGACATCGATAGAAGAAACCAAACAAATCATGCAAGCAGCTTTGTTTTGCCTCTGGGACACCTCTTGGGCACCTCTTATGGCATCCACACTGGTTCAACTCCTCCGTGGAGGTTTTGGGATACAGCGCAACAGATTCAACAAGCTCACAGGTTCGTGAACACATCGGATGCATCGAACAGTGTGGCAAAGTCCAGCCACGCTTCCTTAATTATCGGGGACTTCAATTCTAAGGTTGGCTGTGTCATTGCTGTTTGTGTGTCTTACATGTTCACAACCTCATGAGCATTTGCCTCACTCCGCTTGATGTCCCACCAGTCCGGATGCACCCCTGCTAGCTTTCGTCACCTACCCTCGGCCTCAAGTTGTGTTCTCGTTTTTTTGAATAACATTTCTGTAAATGTTGGAGTGCAAAGCTGGTTCATCACCCAAGCCATATGAGCAACTGCCAAAACCTCCGATAAAGGCAGCATCAAGGTTTCACAGAAACAAAACGATAAGGTTTTAGTACAAGTTGTTAGGTGTGTCCCAACCCTCAGGAACGATAAGGTTTACAGAAGAAGTGATAACGTTGGGAAGAGTTGGCACTGCAACGCATAAGAGGTTTTGCAGGTCGCTCATATGTCACAGTAGTTGTACAGTTAAATCATGTTAGTGACGTTTTTGTGCTATGTATAGTCTAATGTATTGTATAGTCATGAGTCATAGTATTTCTTGCAAAATCACAGCCCGCGCGAGGTGATGCTTTCACAAAGACTTTGAAGAGTCTTGCTTCTTCAGAGGAGGAAGGCCAGCAGATCGATGAGCTGTTGCGGAAGATGAAAGGTCACACGCCAGAGCTCTTGCAAGATCCACAGGGGACAACGGCGAAAGTGGTTGGGTTGATGCTCAAGTTGGTGCAAGGCTCGCCCGAAGAGTGGCTTGGACATCTCGTGAAGCAAATGCATTGTTTTCTGTGCTTGAAATGACGTGCTTGAACCAGACTCGTCTCTTCAACAGTCTTCTGTCACCTCAAATGCCTCTGAACGAATCAATCTCAATAGTTGGGGGATCAATGAGACAGACCCATCCATTCAGTTTTGCATGTTCCTGAGTGCTGCACAGGAAAGAAACCGCCCGCAAAGAAATCTCCGCGATGCCCGAGACCGTTCCGGCACTTTCAGCAGAAGATGAGGCCAAGGCAAAGGAAAAAATTCAGGACATGGAAAAGGAATTCGAGGAACATCGAGGTTTCTTGGTTGAGTTTCAGAGTGAGGATGTGCTCATCTACCCAGCAGCACAGTTGCTGGTATTTGCAGGCGTTTGCCAAACCCTTTGCAACACACAAATAATAATGCTCCGCACTGTTGATTTCCCATATCATGGTATTGTTGAGGGTGACTGACTGTATTTATTTCCGAGTGGTTTCATATATATATATATATTATATATATATATGTGATTATATGTGTGCTGTATATATGCACATATAGGAATTTACTTGTTAAACCTTTACTTCAGATTATTGATTCCACTGAGGGAAAGTTTTGTTCAAGTGAGTTGAAACCACCAATCAGATCTGTCCTTTTTAGGTGTTGTGGTGTCCACTTCTGATCCCAGGAGAGATGGAGCTGGCAATGGACCAGGTGGACACAAAGACCAACGAGGCTGTCGAGGAAGAGGCACTTGAAGAAAATTACGCTGGTTCTGCATTGCTGACCATTCCAGAAGATAACAATGCTTCTGCAACTACACGCTCATTTAAGGTGCCTATCATCCAGGCTGTGATTAGTACAGCAGTTGCCACCATCCTTATCGCTGCTGCGGTCTCAACATTTCCCGTCGTCGGTGCACTGCTCTTATATCTGACGTTTGGTCTCGCGTACTGCTCGTTGGATGATAATTTGAATGAGACAAATGACCTGATCAAGTGCATGGGCCACATCATTTTGGCACCTCTTACGGCGGTCAAGTTCCTCGCCAAGGGCCTTTGGCGCATCACCAAAAAGACGTACCGCTTGATCCGTGGGAAGAAGAAGACCAGCGATCCGTCTGAGGTGGCAGTTGAGAGTGATGTCGACCCGACGGCATTGCCTTCTTGAGGAGTTTGGCCGGCGGCTGAGCAGGCTCTTCTTAGAGCGAATATCCCTGCTGAAAAAGTCCACCTTCGCGATCATGAATCGGGAGTTCCGGACTTGATTCCAATCAATACAACAGGTATTGTAGTATTATAGACTCTTGATTGTATGTCAGCCCCCATAACGAGGTTTTACAATCCGCGTTGTTGCCGTCTACTTTTTAAAACATGAGTCAAGAGTCCACATCATATACGTAGGCAAAACTGAAACCGGAGAGGAAGCCAGCAAATGCAGACTTGCTTCATGGGCAGGCATTGTTAAGAATGGTGCACAAGCTTGGAATCGATGACCATGAAATGATATTGATTTTGAAGGTCAGAACCTTCCAAACGGCAATGGGGAGTGGAGGTGGACAAGACAAGTCTAGCCATTATACATGATGCATCATGTTTATATAAGCAACCATTTTTTAAACATTTAGGCTTTACTAAAGTGCTCTACGGCATTCTATTTTTGCTTGTCTATCACCAGTATTCGCTTGTGAACGAGATAGGGCCCCACATAAACGAGAGACTTTTGCCTGATGACACTAATGTAGTCTGAACGAGCGGAACAAGGACGCTACTAGGGGCTCCTGGCCTTACTACTAGGAACAAGGACGCTACTATTATTTTGATGCTTGCCTATTTGTTGTTGGGTGGGGCCGAGTTACGTCTTGTCTGAGGACGGATGCTGATCTATGCCTGGGATGAGCGCCAAATGCGGGCCGCGAAGAAGAAGCGCTTGGCGGACAAGCAAAAGTGGGGCACCTACAGGACAGCCGGACCCGGGTCAATGGATGGATTGGGTCGAAGAACAGGGGCTTGGCGTGTGAACTCTCGTATGCTTTAAACTTGGATGAAACTAACATGGCACCGTTTTTGGAGACACGGCCACTTGGGATGTTGGACACTGCTGGTTTCGCGTGGGCCTGGAAATGTCTGGTGAAAACGAATAAGACTTCGGACTGGTGGAACTTGTTGGATTCGCTGCACGTGAGAAGCACGTGGTCGGGTTGTCGTTAGTCCTTGATCCACGCAATTCGATCAAATGGCTTCCACTGTGACAGTGGCGAAACAACCAAAAAGATGTCCTAGGTGGTGGTCCCATCCTTGCCACAAGAGCGCTCTTTTAAACAGATGCATAGACTCCTGGCAAGCTATGGAACCGTGCTTGTCCATTGCACGGATATTTGTAATCAGGCAGATTCACGAGCTCAAGCTATTCGGGTTCCTCTCCCCTCCGGGACTTGCGAGCTTCTTCGAGTTTTCAACTTGCTGAAATCATTCCAGAATCATCCTAAAGGTCAGTGGGCTGATGTGGGCTGTACAGATCGTGCAGCGGGCATCATCGGATTCCCCACTCCAGGGCCCCTTGCTCTGTTGGGTGTGCAGTGCTCCCAGCGTTGCGTCCTCCGGAGGATCAACAAGGAGGAAGGGACACCAGCCCTGTCGGAGCTGCCGAGCTATCATCCTCTCATGGATAATCTTCCCAAGTGATGGGGAGTGGCGCAGATTCAGCATGCTGAGTTCTATGGAGCTATGTGGATGCTGCAAGAGTGTTGAATCTATGTACTGTAGAGAGTAGAGATCTGTAGAGAGGTTATTGGCATTTATGGGCCTGGAAGGGATTGGGATTCTTCAATACTGTGTTTTTACTAGACACTTGTTGCTTCTTCCACATATTTCTTAGCCAACAGCTGAACGAGCATGCTTCGTTCTACCCCACCTGCCGCACCAACTCCTGGCCCACCAACTCGTGCAACTCGTCCAAGAAAAGGTGCCCGGATTGGGACAGATGATTGATTGGGTTTACCCTCCCTCTAACAATACTGGAAGTAGATGGCATGGCCCCTGAGGGCGCTGGATGGAGGCTCAGTCTTGAGACTTTGACATGTGGTCAGACCCAGCCATGGGCATCCGGAACGGTTCTCTGAGGTAGACGGTAGACCCGAATGTCCTTCTTGTCCGCTTCCCCATCTGAAGCTTCCACTTTCTTAACTTTGTCCGGTGAGTTGACCAAGTTGCCGTTCCTTTCACTCTGTTTTCACTGCAGTCCTGAAACAAGGGCCAGAAGAATCTCTTCTGACTGCAGGAAACAGCACAAACATTTACGGTAGACCCTTGTGGAGCACACGCATGTGCCTCAAAAGGACCCCTACTGCCAGTGTATCTGTCTATCTACCCATCTGTGTGTATAGATAGCTTCAGGATGTACTGAGATCTGCAGGCTGTTTCCCTGAAAGTTGCGCCACGCACCTCACACCTTGCCCGCTGGGTCTCTTTGGGCTCCAGCACCAGAGCCGGGTGCGCGTAGCAGCGCGGTCCGCAGCGCGGTCCGCAGCGCGGTCCCTGGGAGGTGGGGGGACGGAAGGTGAAAGTGAAGGTCTGTGGACTCTTGATCTAAGACCTCCCAACGGAGCGCGACGGGTAGAAGAGGTTTTTCAAGCCAGATTGGGGGGTTCTGTTCATCCAGAGTTTAGAAACAATTTGTTTGCAGGTCACTGAAGAGATTTATGTAGCTTTTTCTAAATGGATGCCTTGGTGCGACTTCTGAACTCATCGGGCAAGACCAAAGGCGAAACGCAAACCATTGCGGGTCTTGATGCCAAGAGTGGATTCTGTTTGAATCTGTTTGATTAAAGTATAGCCAAGATAGATGCCCTCGACTCCCACACTGTCAACCTACACCTGGACCTTTCCTTTAAATCTTTGGATCAACTCGTGGAAGCGGCCAATGGCTGACTACCTGACTACTCTTCCCAAATGAAACCCCAGAATTTATCAAGTATGATATGGGATGAAGAAGAAAGTCAGACTTCTCCTATTGGTCCAATTCTTCCTTCAGCTTGAACCATCAAAAGTGCTTCCTCGGTGTGGAAAGCGTGCTTACCAGACTACCATGTGAGTTTTGCTCGTCGTAGCCAATCCCCCCGAAAGGCCCAGGCTGCCACCCCCATCCGCCGCTGCCATTTCGTTCGATCGCACAAGGCGGGATGATGAAGAAACACATCCGATACCGGGCACTGGAGAAGGTCGGGAAGCTTTTGTGCGGTGGAAAACTCGCGCAGTGCGTGGGTGTGGGGTGGCGAGAAAGGTTTCGGTCGGAGAGGTGTCACAGGTGTTTTCTCAAGTGTATAGAAGAATCGAACAGAATGTGTACCCGCGTTCCGTTGCCTAATTCAGTTTGAGCCAACGGTTGGCAGAGTTTGCTTGGCGTAGTCGGGTCCCAGCTGCTGGATCACATTGACCTGTTGAACTTCACAACAACACCAACATATACAGACGACCCAGCAGCCCTTTTTAGATCAGGCATGAACAAGGCCATTTTTGAGGGGTCTCACGAAATCTGCACCAGAACCAGTGCGCCACTCACATCTTGCGGGGTGGGCCCGGAGCCGAAGGTCTTGGGCCCCAGAGGTCGAGACCACAAGACGTCTATGCTACTCATCCCACCCCGAGCACGTCAAGCAGAAAGTCCACCAAAGGAGAAAAGTAGACGAACAGTACCCAAGAGATCCAAGATCCGCCAGGTAAAGGTGAGGCCAAGAAGCCTGGTGCAGATCTGCTTGCAGAGAGTGGCTGAGAACTTCCTCCGTCCCTCGATGGTGTGGGCGTTCCGGGCGTTTTGCAAGGTTTTTGTTGGCTTGCTGAAGGGGAGGACATTGGCAGACAACAAGAGCCTAAAGTTGCCTACAGTTTGAATGAATAGGCTGGCTAATGCTGGCTATCTATCAGGTCTCGAACCTTTAACTGGGCTCTAAGATTTCTGAAGTGAATGTCCTTTGTTTCTTGGACTAATGGGCCCTGGATGATGGCCATCGTCACTGAGTTGCAAAGAAACAAAGGACTTGCATCGGGGAGATTGGACTTTTACAGAGGCTAGGAAAGGGCATTTTGGGCCGTTCATGAGGTCAAATCACAGACTCCAGCCTGTATCATTATCATTCCTGCTCGCTGCATTTGAGAATTTGAGAGGGAAATACCTCTTCGGAATGCAGCCGCTTGACTACTTGACGCTCTTTCCGTTCGGGGGAGGGTCGAATGACATATGAAGGAAGGTCAGAAAGGGACCGCCAAGCTATTGAATTCATTGGAACTTTGAGAAGCAAGGGTCAAGGGACCCCCTAAGCACCCCAAGTTTCACACATTGTTTGCATTTTTCATGGGTCTCTCGACTTCGCATCGGCCCAGACTATGACAACCTCTACTTAAAGCTGGGACGGAAGCAGCTGGAGGCACCCTGCCGATCCCGGCGGGATGTGATCGTTATACTCTGCGGATGCTCCTTTCACCATGCAGCAAGCACTGAAGTTCATGTCCAGCGAAGTGCCACAGCACCAACAGCCCAAAGCAAGCGAATTGCAGGCAAAAATTGCCCTTTCCTTGCCTTGTCTTGAGCGGAGGGATGAGGGATGATGAGGGGATGGCTTCACTGTGATGGTGGCAGCGACAAAGGATGCCGTTCCGGCGTTGATCGTCAGGATGTTTACGCCATGCTGGACTTAGATATGCCCTTGCCAGAGGCCGCTCTCAGGCGAGGCAAACAGCTATTGAGGGCTGGGACGGAAAACCCTTGTTTGTTTTTAACACAATTTCTTTCGATTCTTATTGTACTTGTTCTGGACGAATACGTGAAGTGCTCCTTTGCGATTGCTTCCCAACACACCCTTATTCCCATCCAGTTGTCGTTCCCATGGTGACAAGCTGGTATGAACAAAAGCGATCAACCAAGATGGAACCAAACGATGAGAGGCTTTGACGGCGTCTCGGGCGGTTTTCTGAGGCATACAGTCATTACATGGTCAAGACCGTTTTTATGGCAGACTCACCAGACCTCTCCGCATGTTTTTTCAGGATCAGCGACGAGAACTACTGGAAAAGGCGAACGCAGGCAGGGTTGACTGGACGAACTTCCCATCACCTGCCAACACCTAGCTGGTGGCTGCTTCTTGCGAGGCAAAGCATCCAAATGCACAGGTTGAAAAGTCGGGAGACTCAGTCAGCAAGAGGCACCATCAGGATTCTAGATCGTATTTCAGGGCTCATCGCCATCCACAACCCAACTTTCGAGACTCACCGTTGCAGGAGTCGTTGAAATGTCACGTGTTCGCGGGATTTACCCAGATTCTCAGCAAATCGTTGGGCGTTTGGCTGCGGAAGCATCACAAAAGAGTCCAGTCTGGCAGGGGGAGGTTCGCCTCAGGGCTATGGCGACTATGATGTGTTTGGATGTGTTTAACATGTGATTGATTGAATCCCTTCTCCACCTCACGTTGGTTCGAAGTAGAAGTAGCTGAGGCATGGGATGTCGTGGAAGCAGACCTACTTGGAGCTGGAGACTTAGCATCTTCGCTTCACCTCTTCTGCTTCACTCCCATCTTAAAGCCATCATTTTCAGTGTCTCTTCCCATCGGAAAGGCCTACGGAGTGTTTCTGGGTGCCAGGTCACCTCTATGGCCTCCAACCTAGAAGCGATGGCCTCCAACCTACAAGTGATTTCCTCAAAAAGCCCTCCTGGCGGCCGGCATGACATTACCAGTACCGGGGAAGAGGCATTTTCCTTGGAGTTGCCACACTGTGCAGGCTGGAGTTGCAGCAGGCGCTCGAAGCGGTCCCGATCACCGTAGAGTGAGCCTCCCCCCCGCCGGGCTGTGCCTGGCAGAGCATGCACCGGAAGCATCGGAAGCATCGTGCCCCTCAAAAGGATGAAGGATCAATGCCACGAACAAGGCGAAGTTGGAGACAGGAGATGTAAGGTTCAATGAGACTGAGCGTGACCCCTACAGCTTGCTGAGGTACGGGAACCCCGAGTTGGAAGCGCTGAAACAGCAAGTCATGGCTTCAAGGTGA